GATCATTAGTGGGCCCCCTCTGGCTAAAGGCTGGCTATAGAATACAGAGCATCGAACACGAAAGGAAAATCTAAGGCATTTTGGAAAAATGAGTATGCCCCGCAGCGTCGGATAACTACCACCTTCCAGTGGGTCAAGCCATCGGGGTCCAAGTCTATAATGGCACTTAACGATAGCACTAACCTTGTCTCACTTTTCGTTGAATTCTGTTCCGAATGGTTTCGGCCACAGACTGGCTGCACTGAGGTCGTTTGATATGTGCCACTGTAATTAAAGCCACCTGAGGCGCCCGGACACCAGGCTGAAGCTGGGTTGGAAATGCTTCGTCTTTGCAGATATCACTGGCCGCTGATTCTCTAGTGCCTGAACCGGTAGATGTCGTGGCAAAATTTGGTGTGATAATTTGGACCTTACCGCAGTCAGTGCACCCTAAAGCCCTAATAAAGATTAAGAAACGCCCCACCCAGAGAGAGATCACACCGTTCCGTGCTTCTATCCTCAGGATACTGAAATCCTTCTCCTCCACGCCGCAACCCCCCTCCGGACTGGACAGGCAACTTTATCTCATGCGGGCTGCTCCCTTGGAGCGGCACCGCTGCTCCTGGGGGAGCGCACCCCGTAGCCGGGTGCAGTGAGTGCCTTGGGGCTGGGTGGCCTGTCCTCTGGACGGGCTCAGCCCCGGCGACTCACTACTAGGGTGCCTGCCCAGACCAATGTCTCCCCCTAATCCCTATCATCCTTCAGGCTCTGCAATGGTCTTGTCAGACCGAAAGGGCCTAACCCAACAAAACAAACAAACAAACCACCCAGAGCTTCTGGATTCTCGTTCCAGTCCACCATTCCGTCACCCTAGCCCGCCGCCGCGCTCCCTCACCTCAGACCTCCGTTCCTAGCTTGACGAGCGTTTGGGCCTTAGTTAAGCCTTGCTGTAGGCTTACTGTATAAAACCCATCGAGACAGCCCGTCTCGGTGAGCTTAGTTGGCGAACTACTGTCTTGGGGTGGGTTTCTGGCGGATCGCTGTCCCAATAGGTTTAGATGCGACCGACTGTCTCTGAATGTTTGAGCGGTCTCCTCCCGCTGTGAGCTATTTTCAGTTGATATCTGTCTCAGAAATACTTTTTAAAGGAAGGTTAAACGGAAATCCAGGGTTACTTTTAAAGGGGGGGAAAGAGGGAATTTCCCCCCTTCGAAAATTCCGCTCCCCCTTTCAAATTGTGTCATAATGGCTAGGGAGGGAAGGGGGAATTTCCCCCTTTCAAAATTATTTGTGAGCCCATTTTCAATTAATTCGCTATTCAGATTCTCTTGTCATCGTTATTCAGATTCTAGTCATCAATTAACGTTGCTGGCGCTAAGATATTATCAATGATTGTGGGCAGTGGCACCGCCCGGGCGGAACTTAAAATATCCGGAACTCCAGGTTTGACCCGATACCGATCGGATGGTCGGTGGGACCGTCTCTTGTCTTGTCTTTTCGCACTCACTCAGGGGCGGATCCAGCAAAACTCTAAGGGGAGGGTCATGATTCGAAGTGGATTCAGCTCAACGTATTTCGGCCACTTAATTTTGGTGGTGCCCTAATTTCATTTTTTGGACCTGAGGTTCCACTGCTAGGCCGCAGGCATGCCCCTGGCAGGTTCGTGGTGCCGCTGGAAGAAACATGTTGCCCCTGACAGGCCCAATATGTGCCCATGCGAGGCCGGTGGTGCCCCTGCGAGGCCGGTAGTGCCCCTGCGAGGCAGGTGGTGCCCCTGGCAGGTCTGTGATGCCCCTGGCCCTGGCATGTCTGTGGGGCTCTTGCGAAGCCGATGGTGTTCCTGACAGGACTGTGGTGCCCCTGACAAGCCTGAAATGCCCCTGAAAGAACCGTGGTTCCCCTGACAGGCCCAAACTACCCCTGCGAGGCCGGTAGTGCCCCTGGCAGGCCTCTGGTACCCCTGGCAGGTCTGTGGTGCCCCTGGGAGACCTGTGGTGCTCTTGCTAGGCCGATAGTGCTCCTTACAGGGCTGTGGTGCCCCTGCCTGACAAGCCTGTGGGCCCCTGACAGGCCCGGGTGCCCCTGCTAGGCCTGTAGTGCCCCTGGCGGGCCTGTGGTGCCGCTGCTAGGCCGCTGGTGCCCCTGGGCCCAGACAGGACTGTGGTGCCCTGACAAGCTTGAAGTGCCCCGACAGGCCCGTGGTGCCCCTGCGAGGTTGGTGGTGCTCCTGGCAGGTCAGTGGTGCCCCTGTCAGACCTGTGGTGCTCTTGCTAGGCCGACGGTGCTCCTGACAAGCCTGTGGTGCCCCTGACAAGCCTGTGGTGCCCCTGGCAGGCCTTTGGTGCCCCCGGACTCCGGAGGGGGGGGGGGGTCATGACCCATATTTGACCCCCCTGGATCCGCCACTGCACTCACTGGCATATCGGCACAGGCGTCGGCGTAGAAACCGGCGGGGGACGGGGGTCATGACCTCCCCGAATTTTATTCCCCCTCTCGACTTTTCCTGTAAAAGTAACCCTGCGGAAATCGAACGTAAAATGAACAGAGGAAATGGAAACGAGTTACTCATTGAAGAATAGCGCTCGCCTACTTCAAAAGGTTCGGCACCGTTCTTCAATATCTGATATGCGATCGGGTTATGGCACAATTTTTCCCATTGGAGCTTTTTTCTAATACAGCAATACGAAAATCTTTACATCGTCCAATGGCGGATCCAGGGAGCGGGCATTTAAAGCAAATATTTACTCCCCCTCCCCCTGCATCGCCCAAAACAGACAAAACGTATGTGCCTTATGTTTCCTAATAATAAAACTTTATCAGGAATGTTTTTGCTTTATACTGTTCAACAGTATAAAGGAATCGAAATCCGAGGAGTTTTTGGATTTTAGACACTTTTTGGGGGGTATGTCCCCTACAGCGTCGAAAACTCCTTTCTGCATCCGTCTATGACATCATCTCGACTAAGATCTTGCCCCTCCCCCCCCCCCACGCCAAAATCGAATCAGCCGCCACTGGTCACGATGTGTAAAATTGATGCCCGCAGCCCGAAGGCGTTCAGAGTGACGTACCCAAGGGGGGGGCCACGGGGGCCATGGCCCCCTCCTGAGCGCCGAAGGCGCTCAGGGGGCCCCTCAGGCCCCGGTAGGGGAAGGTGGGGTAAGACGGACCAGCTAAGGTTTGAGGCCGCATATCTTGCTACACTGCTCTCGTATTTCATATTATTTATAGTCTTCGGAATGCTCAATCCTTCCTCTGTTGATATGTGTAAAGACTTAATTTCAAATTAAAGACATCTAGGTGGTGGATGCTCTTAAAGAGGGACATGTCAAAAACTCAGACAAGGAAAAACGTGGGGTAAGACGGACCACCCAGCAGTGCCTGCTATCCGTTCATGTGTGTTACACTTCTGCTCTGTACTTGTGAGAAAAAGTAACCAGAATAACAAATGAGCCTTTATTCTTTACTCATGTGTGATGGAAGTGCAGCTAAAAGCTGGGAACATGTGTGTTGATTGTCGTTTGGCATGAATGCATGCTAACTGAGCACTTGCATGCATGGCTCACATGCAACAAAGACTCCTTCCTGAAAAATTAGCTTACTTAAACTTGTGTCAATGTTTTGGAAAAGAACTTTCCATATGCAGGGTACAATGGACCACCACAGGGTAAGATGGACCACAGTGGTCCGTCTTGCCCCAAATCTAAATTCTGTCATTATCATGACGTATATGTCAAATAGCCCAACATTGCAAAACCTTGTCTTTCCTAAAGTGTGACTATAACTAAGTTTATAACTTTGTTCTTCACAGTAAAATGCAAAATAGAAACTAATCATGCAAGAAAGGCGCCGTAATTGAATCACCCGTAGACCTCTTATATTAGATCGGTTTGACGAAAAACAACATTTTTCTCAATAACTCAAAAGCTATGCATCCTAGCAGCATGAGCTCAAGGTGGCCATTGTTACGAAGGAAAACAAACATAGTGAGTGCATAAAGCAGTAGATACCAGCAGCGGTTCAGCCGGGAGGGCTGGTGGTCCGTCTTGCCCCGCTGGGCCGTCTTACCCCACCTTCCCCTATATTTTTCAAACACTGGATAAAACGTCTTTTACTAGGAGGAAAAAATGATATCAAAGTTTCATTTATAAGCCCCCGGTTACCGAGGGGCCCCTGCGGCCTGCAGTCATCCGAGGGCCCCCGGTTTCCTGGGCCCCTGGTCGCCTAGGGGGCCCCTGGTAGCCGGGGCCTGGTCGCATGGGGGCCCCTGATTGCCTGGGGTCCCTTGTCGCCTAGGGGGCCCTGGTAGCCGGGGGGCCTGGTCGCATGGGGGCCTCCGGTCGCATGGGGCCCTGATCGCCTGGGGCCCCTAATCGCCAAGGGGGCCCCTGGTAGCGGGGGCCTGGTCGCATGGGGGCCCCTGGTTGCCTGGGACCCCTGAGGGCCCCTGGTTGCCTGGGGGCCCCTGGTCGCCTGGGCGGCCTGGGGGCCCCCGGGTGACCTAAGGGCCCCTTCGGAAGCAGGTGGCCCCCTCCTGGGCGAAATCCTGGGTACGTGCCTGACCGCGTTCTGAAAGTTTGGTGGCGATATCTGCAGCCGTTTGGGACATATATGTCCGAACGAACAGTCTGGTCCTCCGAGCCGGCTCACGTATTGAACGGGTGAAATAAACGCCTCGCATGAAAATATCAATTATCGACAAATTATCGACAAATAGATTTGTTCCATTCCACCCGAAAATCCACACCAAGATTCCTTTACTACTCCTCCACACTAACTGCTGCTCAAATGAAGTTATACCTTCAAATGCAGAAAATATGGAAGCTCTGCTTATTTTTCTGATATGGTGACCTTGTTTCAAAACCGACGCACTTAGCTGTGTTCAGCATGCGAAATTTTTGCTAATGTTTAGAAAAACAGCATTAATAAGCAAATCAACGCAAAGAGAGTGAATATCTGTGGTTTGCGCTTGAAGTCTATGAGAAGAAAAAAACAATATTCCCATAAATCGGGAAATTTGTGTTAGGGGAATGGGGCTATGTGGAGGGGAAGCACGTGTCAGTGTCAGTGTGGGATTTATTCAAGGGATTTATTGGTAATATAGCCTTAGATTTATACCAGGCGTCGCGCAAGGGATTATTGCCGGTTGATATTGCGCTGTGAGTTATATAGCCTTGGCTGGTATGCAGTATCTACCATAGTTAATATTGATATGGTACTTCAACTTAAGTTAACCATACCATAGTAAGGGATCATAGTAAGTTCGAATTTTTCTTTATGGATGATTTGATAGCTTGAGCTAGCCGAAGGCCAAGGCCATAGCCCCAGCTCAGCAGAGCAGCTTAAGTTGTGCATGCCCATTGCCCAACCTTTATCCTCAGAATTTAGGGGTTTCAGGAAATTCCTTCTGTTGGAAAAATGTCAATTGGTGCCTTGGATCAGTGCCTTTTTATAAGTTAAGTCCAAATTTTGCTATTGGAAGAATTCACAACCACAAGGACAGAGCACCGATAACCTGAGCTTGTTGATTGTTGGCCCTGCCCTTTTGATCGGGCAGTTTCTGGCCCGACTGGAAAAAATGCCTCCACTACGCTGAAGTTCTCGCCGGAGGTGATGCGCCGAAATTTCTGCGCAAGGGTTTATGCGCCGAAATTATTTTACCAAGCCATGCTTCATGCGCCGAAAATTTTCAAGGCTTACTGATGGCTGCAAGCTGTAGCCACGCACTTTTCGTCGAGGTGGGGGGGGGGGGGGCTGGCTGGCGTGTGTGTGTGGCTGTCTTCCAGTGACTACTGTCTACAGACGGTTGTTGGCACGGTCGACGGGATCGGGCAGACAATAGACATCAGCAGGCCATGCGGGACCGAGCACCAGCGTTCGCTATCACAATTCACAAAATCTCCGGACTCACAAACTCACTGGCATGTTCCATTTCATAACCTTTATTTTGTTGCCCGGCTCTGATCAGCAGTAGTGCCCAGCCGGTGACTGACGCCTGACGGGGCCTTCAACAGGCATGGTGCAAGCACGGCCGATGGGATCGGGCAGATACCAGGCCACGCGGGACCGATTGCCGGCGTCCGCTCACAAACCACACGCCGGAAATACAGGAATCACAACGGTCAATTCGCACACGATAGCATACGTGATCTGAACTAGGGGATCCGACAATCCATAACCTCACTCTCGATCGGTGAACTGTTCCCGCCGTGGGAGAGTCACAATCAGGTTCACTGAACATGACTTAAATACCCTGAGACGAACACGAGTCACGAGACAAGATAAGTGACATTTAAGATGTTTAACTCCCGAAGACATTTAACCCTCGCCGGCCGAGGGGGTTGGTGCCACCCCGCTGACGGTTTTTTTCGCGACTGCTCCGGAGCCGTTTGCGATAGAGAGATAGAGAAAACCGTTGCGTCCGGCGAGGGTTAACTTTACATGGTCCCAGGTATGGCTGTTGTAATTGGCCAAAAATAATGAAATAAATGAGGGTTATGCAATTTGAGAGCCTGAACTTCTGTGTTGTCCCACCGTCCGCCCTATACGAATATAGCTCATCGCGCAGTCGCGGTGATATTTTTTATTTGTTTGGAACTCTGGGAGCATACGAATACGGCCGGAAGCACTGGATCAAGGCGAAATTTCGGAGCAGGCTTATTTACGCCGAAGTGCGCCGACATTTTCGGCGCAAGCCGTAGATTTACGCCGAAGTACGCCGAAAATTTCGGCGCAAGCCGTCGATTTACGCCGAAGTACGCCGAAAATTTTCGGCGCAAACGCCCAACTACGCTCGAGTTCTCGACGAAAGCGTGCATTTTTTCCAGTCGGGGTTTCTGGTCTATGGCAGAATTTAGAGTCTGAAATTTAGCAACATGTGCTCAAAGCAGTGCATGGCTGGTCCCCCTCACTGACTGACTAGCTATGGCCTGCCACCAACTGCAACCATACCTGTCACTAGGAGGCTCATAAACATTGAGCGCCAGTCATGCTTCGAATCCAGACTTTGGTAAGACCTTGGATGTGTCGCTACTCGCTATCGTTGGACGCTGGCAGCTGGCTCTCACCACACAGATTCCAACGCTGTACCGACTAAGCTATGGGACCGGTAAAATCATCACAGAAAAATATTACAGAAAAATGATGCATATTATCACAGAAAATTTGATACCAAAGGGAAGATTGGCCATCAAAACTGGCTTTGGTGTCAGTGTGCCCCATTTGACTGCCTTCATGTTACTGAGGCAGCTCCCACCAGCATCAGACCATCCTTGTTGTTGGTTGTCAGATGTGTTGTACCCATTATTGATATTATTGAGCCCTGGAGCAACCTGAAGCTGGTGTCTCATCCTGAACCAGCTGTGAGACACTAGAGACAGTCTACCCTAATGGTAGCATTCCCATGAGCTGTGCATAATTGTATTTTTAAGCAAAATATATACTTATAAAACTGATCAATGATATGAATTTTATAGCAGATACAACCTGTAGGTACAAATTGAGGTGCTCTACTGCCAAGTTTCTGCAGGTTTGCTCAGTTTGTGTGGATTTAGTGGGAAACAATGCAGATTCTCAGCTTGTGCAGATGCTTATCTTGTGGTTTAGATTATGGTGTTGTGTAGTGCAGATAGAGTAATGTAAGTATCAAACTGTGGTGCCAGCTTGGTGCTATTTATGATAATGTGTGGGGGATGTGGCAGTATGCCCATTCAGATACCACCCTTTAATCACTATTTCTGTTTTCAAATGTGTAGAATTTTGCATTCTGCAATGCAAATCTCATACCTGAGCCTTAATTGGCGTTATCTAGCCTTGGTGTAATCTGAGGAGGATTTTCAGCATGGTTGGTGCAGACTCATGTGGTTTTGTCAGTCTCACTGGCAAAGTGGCTTGTGGGCCCTGCTGCCAAGTGCCAAGTTTTATTGTTTGACTAAGGTGCTTAGATCAGCTTGACTTCGCTAATTACCAGGTACTGGCAAATTGCAAATTGTTATGAAGGTATATTGCAATAAACAAACAGTACCTACATATAAGTAGCCCTCCCAAGTCCCAGTATTTTGTGCATAAACCAGCATGATGATAAACCTGGCCACCACCCATTACCCAAAACTTGTGTAGGCTTAGGCTGAGGCTCAAGATAGTGGGCTAGGAATCCGGGATAGATTAAGGCCATATAAATTAACAGATAAACTTCCTCTTCACTTATAACCCAACTTAATATTAAAGATATTTAAACATTCTGGAGACCTCTGAGCTGTTGCGTAGTGTCTAATTTTATTGGCAAGTCAATAGTCTTCCACGGCTGAGGAGGTAGACGATTTATGATCTTAGGTATCCCTCGCTGCTCTGAGGCTGATCAGTGATCAGCATCTTGTCGGGGATCTGATACTGGGACCGGGCTGTTCAGCAATCAGAATTCAATTGTTCTGTGACGTCACAACATTAAAACAAAAGCCCTTTTGGTTTATCTGCAACATCGATGTAATTGCCATCTGGTGGTTGACCAGCTGTAGGTGGCGCCTCGTGCTAACTCTACTGAGGCTGACGGGCGAATTGTCCGCTGCCTGAGGCTGGTCCACAGATGTGAGAAATGTATACCGTAAAGTGGGGCTATTTGAGACAGTGGGGCTATTTGAGGCAGTATTTAAAATCGCTATAAAATGAAAATCGTTTGATTTTTGTGTGATATTTCTGCACAGGGAGGTGTGGAATCGAGCAGTAAATCGCCTGAGCAAAAAATTAAGCATGAATCTTAAGTGGTTTTTATTTTACAGCAATTTTAAATACTGTCTCAAATAGCCCCACTGTCTCAAATAGCCCCACCTTACGGTATTCATTGTAAGTCACTTTTTGTATATTCATTGTAAGCCCTAACTGTATCCATTATTTTTGCGAGCGGTAGACTGGTATTCCTGGTGGACTGATGCGTGTGATCAACCGTGTTGCCAAAAGCTACGTTATCTCATCTACACCGTGGCCAAAGACCAAAAGCGGTGCTAACATTTTCCATCCTTGTCTGCAGCTGTTTTGAAGATGAAGACGAAAGGCGCAGAACAGGACGCACCAACTCAGCTATCATCAGTTAAGAAGAGCAAGAGAAGGAGAGGAAAGAAAAAGGTAAGTGTCCTATGCGATTTTCTAAATGTCTGCCTTAGACACTTTGCGAACTTTCCCCTGCGAACTTTCCCCGGACTAGGTACGTGCTATTTAGTTACCAGGCAGAATTGATTCAGTCGTAATCCTTTAGCCAGTCTGTTCCCGCTTCCGCGGTGGTGTCGAATAGTTAAATGATGTCCTCGGGCTCTCCATTTACGGTTACTACCTTAGCTTCCACACAAAGAGTTCAATGTTCCATAGCTAAGCCAGAAGCAGACTGATTTTGCTCCCTCATTTGGCTAGCATGACTACTAGTCACCCTATGTGTGAAGCGTTGTTGATCACTAGATCTGCGTTTTCAGGCGCGGCCCACAGTCCCTGAGGGCGCCGAGGCACACGGTGATGAAGAAATACCGTCACAGCCCGGTGATGTGACGGCACAGGTCGTTGACGTGACGTCACAGAGTGATGGTTTCACGTCACAGTTCACTGAGAAGTCGCCAGAGACATTTGCCTGTGAGGCCTGCGATATTCAGATGAAGAACTCTGCCCAGTTGTCGGCACATCTGAACAGTAAGTACTGACTTTGCCCCTCGAGGAGTTTGCGGAGTTATTTCGAGCGATAGAATGCATGAAGAAACTTGATATGGGCCTCCTTCACTTCTGAGTCGCAAAGCAGTGATGGCGTTGTAATTACCGTGTGAAGGCAGCAAATCTTGCATCGAAAGTGTTGCCTTTTACGTTTACTTACATTGTACGTATTGGGTATGATGATGAAAAGATGATGAAATGATAAAAGACCGCAAATCTTTCTCTTAAGTTCTTGTGTCCGATCACAAACCGCTCCCAGCCTCCGTCCCTGACCCGCTGTTCCCACCCTCCCCGTCCTCAGGTAAGCGGCACGCCCGGCGGCGGCGTGAGCTGCGCATCCTGGCCGCGCTGGCTGACACGACCCAGGTCACTGAGGTCACCGACAAAGAGGCACTGGCCGCCCGGCTGGCCAAGGGCAACAGTATGTTGTTAGCAGAGAGCTGGGGCGGGGTTTCTCGACTCATAGCAATAGACTATAGTCATAAACCGGTGTACAGAGGCCTATGCTCCAGTGTGTCTACCAAGTGTCTACCCACAGTTTTTTTTGAGTGTTTTGATGTGTTCTGATTGATAGGAAGGCGATGTTGGAAATGTTGGTTTGCGCATCCTCAGGGGTCACCGGACACCGAGTCAGTGTTGCATTGTGACGTGTTTTTTTTCGTATTTTGTCTATCACGTACGCCCTTGACAGAAGGAGCTTCTGTAGGCCGTATGAACTAAATAGCGAAGTTACAGCCTTTATTTCAATTAACCAAGGTTTGGGGTCAATATTATTCATGCTGCAAGCGGAATGATGGAAAGAAGCGAAACCTCTTGAAATACTCGACGTATAGTATGAACATTGGCCCTAGATGCAATACTTAACAGATGAAACATATTCAGTTTACAAGCCAAATTGTCTGTTTAGGAGGCTTATATTTTATAAGGAGAGCTTAGTTCATTTTGAAGCCATGTTTTAGAAAAGAAAAAATGTATTTGTTAACGCCCAAGCAGTCTGCGTGTTGTCTCGTGCCACCAATCCAATAACGCCCCTCTCGTCGTCTGCGCACAGCTCGCCTGCAGCCGGTACCGCTGAAGGAGGGTGAACTGCCAGACTGCATTACCAGGAGGTGTGAGGGCAAGGTGCGACAGAAGGTGTCGTACACCTGCGACCTGTGTACCGTCCAGCTGACCTCGCTCGTCAAAGTGCAGGAGGTGAGAGACAGGGTGATAGTAGAGAGCGGTAGAGAGACCGGGGAAGGGAATAGAGAGTTGAGATAAGTGCAGAACTCTGAGTCAGTTGTAAAGCGAAGACTGATCGCATTTTGCAAGCATGTTACAAGATTATGGGAAGGTTATATTTTTGTGGTGGATCTCCTTGGATAGTTCTTGCCGGTACATAATTGTTACTTTTCTCTATCATTTAAGTCCAACATCAATCAAGTCCATCCATATCACTTGATTTTGTCATTGACATGATCGCGAGTAGGTGTTATTTTACCGCATTTTTGTATTCCGTTGAACATTTTGAGCTTTTCTTCGAGTTTTCGCCTCTTTTTGTGGATAAGCATGTTTTTATAAATGTGGAGAATAGAGATGCCTCCAAAAAGAGCTATGGTAAATTGTATTTATTATGTATCTGCTTATCAAAATTGTCACTGGCACTTGACCCCTATAACAGTTTCTAAGACGGTAACTTTCTGGGTAACGAAAAAAAAACATTACCGAATCTTCTATAACATCATCTTTTTGCTCGCGCCTTGCAGCGTCATCTAACCTCACCCCTCCCCCTCCCGCAGCACCTGGTATCCCAGCGACACACGGCCCTGCAGGAGGGCCGGCCCGATCCGACCCTGGACGGCCAACACCCGGCCAGCAAGACCAGGAGGAAGGCCAGCGTCAAAAACTCGTGGTTCTGGTAGCCCAGAGCTGAGAGGGTGAGGCTGTGGCTGCCGGGGGAGGGGAGGGGAGAAGGGCTGATTTGCTGGGAAAAGGAGCTGTCTATGAAGTGTTCGCGCATTGTCGAGAAAGAATACAAGTTGTTTGTAAACGTGTCTACTGGTTTTATGGGCTGAAGCAGCCTTGCCGCCTGTCTAATGACTTCTCAGCTATATTGTTTTCGTAGCGGGGCTCATCCGAAGTTAAGAACTAGTTTAACCATTGTATGGCATTTATGGTTCTCTGGCGATTGCAGTTCGAAGATTAATGACATTGCACGATTGATGAGATGTATAGAGTGCAGACATCAAGTACATTGAAAGGCATTTGATTATATTCTTTGAGTATATTTACAATGCACATGCATTTATGCAGTCAAGTAGATATATGTAGGTAGCTGTCATAAGTAGCGTTCCCTGGTGTCTGATAATCTCTGGGCACACCTGCCGGCACGTCTAATCTCTGGCGGTATCGGGACAGTACAATGAGACTATGTTTGGCTAGGCGACTGTAGTTCAGTTTTCTCTCTTGCCTCAGACAGTGTTCCCATTTTCAGCGCGGCTCAAGACTGACAATGGCGAACAACGCTGAGTGCCCTCTATTTTCAGTGTTCCGTCCAGCACTTTTCGTTAGTTTAGATACCCTGTAGTTAACAGAAGGCAGTGCAGCAATGTTTGCTACCTTTTGATAGATCCAAATCCATATCACCCAACGTCGTTATCCATCCGTCCCAGTCCTATCCGTCCTAAAGTCAGTACGGTGTTCATCCGTTGTATCAGATCAGATACCAAGTGCGGTGATGTCGGCACTGGCATAAGCTTTTACGTTTACATTTTCAACAATCAATCAACATATATGCAAGCTGATTAACTTGAGCATAATCAGGGGAGCTGTAGGCGGTCTCGGTGGTTCGATCTGGTGTTCCGTCTTCGAGGCGTTGTCTCATCGGAAGAACCTCAGGTTGGTCTTTACTCCGGTCACCGATGTCTCATCGGAAGAACCTCATGTTGGTCTGAATGCCGTCCACGGGCCGCGTGGTGCCACAGAGCGTGGCCAGCTGGTTGGGCTCTCCCCGGCGGGCGGCGTGCAGCGCCCGCAGAAACTGCACGATCTGGCCCGACGACGGCTGACACACCTGAAAAAGATGGATGTCAAGGATAAGTTTTGGAGTAGAGTGAGCTACGCTGCAAGGGGACTACAAATGGTGATGTGCTTCGGGTTCGACGGGGTCAATGTCTGCGGCGTCAGGAGGAATATGATGTTCTTGTTACAGTGTTCTTTCGGAACCCCAATAACTTTAAGAAGAGCAAGAGAAGTAGAGGATTAAATTTATGTACCTATCTTGCGACACGACGCTAGCTTGAGTCACTTCTTACGTTTGAAAGGTAATGATAAGAATACAACACTAAGTAGCGATTTCCAGCTTATTTCTTTTCGCAAACGCTATGATATATGACAAAACATTCTACCCATCACCAAATACATCGCCCAGCAGTGACCCACCTTATATTGCTCGCTCTGAAACCGGGCCGGGTAGTGCGTGTATTGCGCCGCCGGGCTGCGTTTGGTCTCGACCCCTGCCGTCGCCTCGGGCCGTCCAGAGGTCACCGGGTCACCGCCGGCGGCCGGCTCGGTCCGCTCGTCAGCTGAGCCTGCCGCCGCCGAGAGGTCGGGCGGCGGGAGGACGGCCGGTACCGAGAGACGGACGGAGGGCAGCGGCCGCGGGGCCGGCGGCCCGGGCCGGCAGGGGACGCCGCAGGCCTGGCCGGACCACACTGTGGACGGGGAGAGGTGGAATGGTGGTGAAGCGGTGTGTCGGTATCCTGACGAAAGGTAGATGAGACATATGTAAAGTATCCATGACAGTTGGATAACGACAACTCAAGAAACTCAAGATAACATTGTGAAACACAGTGATCAAGGTCGTATGTGACCGAAAGCTTTGTGTATTTAAAAGTAATTTAAAAATAAATATCGTTTGGTAATCTTGAGTTTCTTGAGTTGTCGTTATCCAGATGAGACATAGTTGCAGTTTTATGTAACTGTTAGCACTTTTTGCGAAATACTCGTAAATGAAGTGACCGGCCGCCTCCAAATGTGCATAATGAACATAACGAGCTACTAACCTGAATATTGACGATCGAAGGCGCTGGTGTGGTGGAAGGCACCCACGATCATAAAGACGACGGTGATGGACAGTTCCATGGTGGCTATATGCCTGTTGGAAGCGATTGGTTACAGAAGCACAGTAACGGATAAACGTTGCCCGAACCCGTCACTATTGTAGCACCGTCAGTCAGATCCTGTTTCACTGCGTGCAATGTAAGTACCTACCCCGTAGCGTGTCCTTCAGTCGGCTTTGCTCTTCATTGATTGGTTGGATTGGATGGATTGATTGGTTGGATTGCTCTTCATTGATTGGTTGGAAGGCTAACTGCCTGTGAAAAAAAAATCCAACTACAAGCAACTATCCTCAATCCTCATATGTCGGCTTCTAAATAGAGACTGATGCAGGACGGCCCGCGTCGTTAAAACTCCGCCCATAGATGGCAGTACTATTGAGCGCCTGGACAGATACTGTGCCGCATAACTCGCATGTTGCGGTGCAGCATACTCTCTAGGGCGGCGCAACACCTTACAATTCTAACCATAGATGGCAGCACTGCGAACGCCTGGACAGATACTGTGCCGCATAACTCGCCGTTGCGGTGCAGCATACTCTCCTGGGGCCATGGGTGTAACTTTGTATACTTTCGAGGTCCCATGTGGGACCCCAATGCGAACATTTGGGACCCCAATTGTCATTTTGGGACCCCAATAGTGGAGGCCCCCGAGACGCATCAGCTACTTTGCAAACGGAGGTCCGATATTCATATAAAAGGTTCTCTGTTTAAATAGGAGGCCCCTTGGACAAATCGGAGGCCCTGTTGGACAAATAGGAGGCCCCCTGAACAAGTAGGAGGCCCCCTGAACAAGTAAGAGGCCCCCTGAACAAGTAGGAGGCCCCCTGAACAAGTAGGAGGCCCCCGGAAAACAGGAAGTCCCCTGGAGAAATAGGAGGCTCTCTGGACAAGTAGGAGGCCTCCTGGACAAATAGGAGGCCCTAGACAAATAAGAGGCCCCTAGACAAATAGTAAGCCCCATGGACAAGTAGGAGGCCCTCTGTACAAATAAGAGGCCCCCCTGCAAAAATAGGAGGCCCCCTGGACAAATAGGAGGTCCTAGACCTAGACAAACAGGAGGCCCCTTTCACAAAAGGAGGCCCCTGGACAAATAGGAGGCCCCATGGACAAGTAGGAGGCCCTCTGTACAAATAGGAGGCCCCTGCAAAAATAGGAGGCCCCCTGGACAAATAGAAGGTCCTAGACCTAGACAAAAAGGAGGCCCCTTTCACAAAAGGAGGCCCCCTGGACAAATAGGAGGCCCCTTTCACAAAAGGAGGCCCCTGGACAATTAAGAGGCCCCCTGAACAAGGAGGCCCCCTGGATAAAGAGGAGGCCCCCTAAAAATAGGAGCCCTCTGGATAAATAGGAGGCCGCTAGGAAAATAAGAGGCTACTTTAACCAATAGGAGGCCCCTTGGACAAATAGGAGGCCCCCTGAACATGTAGGAGGCACGCTGGACAAATAGGAGGCCTCTTGGGCAAAGAGGCCCCCTAGAAAAATAACAGGTCCCTTGGACAAATAGGAGGCCCCCTGGACAAATAGGGGACCTCTTGAACAAATAGGAGGCTCCATGGACAAGTAGGAGCTAGAGGCTCTCTGTACGAATAGGAGGCCCCCTGGACAAATAGAAGGCTCCCTTAACAAAAAGGAGTCCCTTCAAAAAAAAGGAGGCCCCGGGACAAGTAGGAGACCCTTGGACAAATAGGAGGCCCCTGCACAAATATGAGACTCCTAGTCGAATAAAAGACCCCTGGATAAATAGGAGGCCCCTGGACAAATAGGAGGCCCCTGAACACGTAGGAGGCCCCCTAGATAAAGAGGAGGCCCCCTGGAAAATAGAAGCCCCCTGGATAAATAGGGGACCTTCTGGAGAAACAAGAGGCCTCCTGGACAAATAGGAGGTCCCATAGACGAATAGGAGGCCGCTTGGACAAATAGGAGGCGCCGTTAACCAATAGGAGGCCCCCTAGACAAACAGGAGGCCCTCTGTAACAGTAGGAGGCTCTCTGTACGTACAAGAGACCGGCGCTCGACCTGTAGAAGCTTAGCCGTATGTACGCTAGGAGGCTCTCTGTGCAAGTAGTCGAAGTAGGAGGCTCTCTGTACTGTACCTACAATTACAAATAAGAGGCCCCCTGGGTAACTTAGATGCAACACAAATCGGAGGTCACCTATAAAAAAGCGGGACTCTGTTGGAATACCTGATTTAATAAATTATTTTCCTGATATTCAAATTACTTAGGTAATCCTCGTCCGCACATGGGGGGGGGGGGCAGTGGTTGCCACACCCCCCACCCCGACCTAGGTAGTTTTTTCTGCTCTGCACTAAACATTTTGATTGCTAGAAGTCGGATATTTCGTATAGCTGCTGCTCTATCCTTTTTTAGCGTCCACTGAAAATTTCAAGTTTCTGTGGTTTTTGGTTTCGGAGATATGACCTTATTCTTCAGGTAATGTCATAACCCAAATGACAAATACCCAATATCTTGCGTTGGCGTTGGGTCTTGTGAGCTTTTGACACCTTGATTTCGGCCTTTTTTGTCAGTCTTACCTCCCACCTATCATGGAACATGTTGTTCAATGATGTAGAGATGCCAGGGTCAGGGTCAAGGTCAACCTAGGTCGTCTAAAAATATTGCGTTTTAGGCAAGCTGAATTTACTTTCGTGAAGTTTCTTTGACTGTATTTTTGGCAAAAGCTTCTCAGTTCATGATCTCATGTAATATGGACACATTCACAGTCGGTGCACACATCAGTATACTCGTACACACAGACACACACAGACATACAAACACATGTCATTGACCTTGAGCTAACTTGACCTGAAATGACCACAGCCAGCAAAAACCTAGTCGGATAGTGTGACAAAGAGGTTCTAGCTGGCTTGGCACCACAATACGGCAGCGTCATCGGTACATGATGAGCAGCGCACGTGATATTCCAACG